GGGGGCAGCCGCCGCTCAACCTACATCCACGTGGGCGGCCTTGTACGCAAGAGGTTCTGAACAGGGGGAGTTATAAGGAAGAAGATAAAAAATTGAACTCAATTTTCCCTGGTTTTCTTTTCTCCTTTTTTCTTTTTTTCGCATTTGCGCTCTGATATTCATGTGACAATATATATATGTATCTCCAAGCCAAAAACAAAGAGGAATAATTTACATTCGTTTTGTATAGTAGGTGTGAATGAACTATTTGTGCTCGCGCTGATGCGAGAAAGAGCGCACATTTGACTTGGGCAGCCTCGAAGTGAAACATATTTAATATTAAACTGTTTTTATTGGACTGAAAGAAGATGAAAACGTCGGAAACATATAGCTGTTTCTATTATTATATATAATAATATTAATATAATAATATTAATAAAATATTAAATGACGACAAAGGATGTTTTAATAAATAACAATAACGTCGGAAATATATAGCTGTTTCTATTATTATATATAATAATATTAATATAATGTTAAATGACGACAGAGGATGTTCGAATAAATAGCAATAATCTAATAATACCATTCGCGAATGAGGATGTTTGGCCAATTTCTACCAGCAGACATGAATGATGACAGGTTCAAAAAAAGGGGAAAAAAAAGGGACGCAAAGACTTGGCTTTATTATTAATTAATTAATAGGTTCGTGCGCAGTCTTGTAAGCTGACACAGGGTTTGTTCTCCTTCGCGAGTCAAAAAAAAAAAAAAAGTCGAGAGACGACCGAGCTCCGTTAGTTCGTAACAGAGAGAAAAAAAAAGAAAGGGAAAAAGTTTCGTTTTTTTTTCCCTAACAATCTGCTGACGTGGCAGAGTATGACAGGTCGGCAGACAGAGAACCGCCGGCTGTGGGATGATGAGACTTTGGGCCTCGCTCCACTACTCTCGACGTGAACGAAAGACAAAAATCGTGGCGGTGAATCTTTCCATGTTCTAGCGGAAGATTCACTCTCGTTTTGCACATGTCGAGAGTTGTGGAGCGAGGCCCAATCACCAAGCGTGAAGGATATAAAAATGTAGGCCATTTCTCGATTTATGTATGCGTGTCATCATCCCTGGGCAGGGGCCATGCTAATCTATCTTCTCTGTAGCGTTTTAATTTTGACGTGCTGCTCCACACGAATAGACTGGAGCATTTGTTGTCCCACAAAAAAAAAAAAAAAAAAAGCCGGATGTGCCGAAGGACAGAGAAAGAAAAAGTATGGGGGAAAAAAGGCGGTGCTTTTTGGTCTGGGCGAGGTCCCACTAGCAAAGGGGACTGAAATAAGGGCCTGGATGTGGATGGGATTTAGGCAATGATGCAGAAAAAGCAGATCAGTCGCGACGATTTCTGCACCTCCCCCGAACACGTCCACATTCAGGCGTTAAATCAATTCGCTTTGCTTGTGGGACCTCGACCTCTTTCTTCTTTTTCATTTTGCATATGCGCTCCTTAGTCAATTTATATTAATATGGTACTTTCTATTTGTCTTTTTTTTTTTTTTTTTTTTTTTTTTTTTTTTT